ACATGATCACTACATCTCATGATCAAAGTGCACTTCACGTATAAAAGAATCCATTTCTAAGCTTGCATCTGGTTCTGAATTGTAAGGTTATAGCAAATTAAAATACAAATAATAATTAAGGTAGCCGGAACTTCAAGATATATCACTAATCTTTTTGTTCCATGCTGGAAATCCACATAATTGTAGGTACCACATTCAATATTCTATACATTCATTATATATTTCATTATTATATCTCAAAGTTAATATACTCCATATCTGGGCTTAACTGAACAATTCAATGTGTTATGCTTTCAGTGACATGAAAATAGTTAACAACAGTGAAAATCTGATCAGTATTACTAAAATTTTCACATTTCATAGCAGGTATTTAAAACACCAAATGCACTTTTCTTATTTTACTCACTCCTGACTGACTCAATGCAACACTGTCCTGAATATACACCTTAGCAACTAATATTCTTTGAAAATTATTATTTTTCTGACAAACAGGTATTAGTACTGCATTAAACTGCAGCTGGATAGAAATTATATTTGCTCTAAAATTCAACTCAGGGTCATTCTGTTGTGCCTTTGCAATTTCTTCATAATCAATTACAGATATCTCTTCAATTCTGGAGAGAGTATCTGCTACAATATTGTCCTTTCCACTAGTATATTTGTAGTAAACTGGGAGATGTACTGTAACTGACGCCGCTAGGTGAAGCTTTATCATTCTTTTGCTTGAATGCAAAAATCAGTGGTTTATGATCAGTGAAAATTTGAAAATCTCGTCCTTCCAGCATGTATTTAAATTGCTTCACAGAGAGATATATTCCAAGCAATTCACGATCATATGTACTGTATTTTCTTTGAGCACCATTTAGCTTCTTTGAATAAAATGCAACTGGTTTCCAGTCACCATCTTCATACTGTTGCAAAACTGAACCAATTTCCCAATCTGAGGCATCAGTGCACAGATAATGGACATTCAGACTTTGGATAACTTAAGAGGGCAGTATTAGCCAAGTCAGTTTTGCACTTCTCAAATTGCTTTATGCTTTCTTCAGTCCAAGGTACTTTACTTTTATCTTTGCTCCCTTAAGCATTTCATGTAGCATGGCCTGATTCTGCGCTGCATCTTTCAAGTACCTCCTATAAAAATTTACCATGCCTAAAAACGTTCTTAAGCCATGAAGAGTGGATGGCAGTTCATAATCAAGAATAGCTTCAACTTTGTTTGGCAGAGGTTGCGAACCAGAAGGCGTAACGAGATACCCCAAAAATTCAATTTCTTTAACTCCAAATACGGACTTTGACACATTTATGTATAGGCCATATTTATCAAGCCTTTCGAAAATTAAGCTCAGATGTGTTTTATGCTTATCCTGAGATAACGAGGCAATTAAAACATCATCAAGATAATGAAAACAGAAACCAAGCCCTCGAAACACCTCGTGTACAAATCTTTGAAAGGTTGAGGGGCCATTTCGGAGACCAAAACTCATAACGTTAAACTCGTACAGTCCAAATGGTGTTGTAATAATGGCTGTTTTTGGTTTATATCCTCCTCAGCTATGGGTATTTGATAGTATGCTTTGAATAGGTCTAATTTTGAGAAAATTGTTTTCCCACTCAAGATTAAATGAAAATCCTCAATTCTAGGAATCGGGTATCTGTCCGGAATAGTCTGCTCATTCAGACGTCTATAATCACCACAAGGTCTTAAAGTTCCATCTTTCTTTGTAACCAGATGCAGAGGACTAGCCCACTGTGATTTAGATGGCCTGATTATACCATTGTCTAACATGAACTGACCTCTTGCTTTGCCAAATTCAGTTTCTTAGCATCAAGCTGCCGAGCACGAGAGTAAACTGGCTGTCCTCTTGTAGCAAGATAATGCTGGACCTTATGTTTCACTTTGGTGTTCAATAAATTGAGCTTCGTAATACCAGGGTACTTTCGCAACAGCTCAGAGAATTTTACAGAATTGCACACTGTGCTAATCGCAGTATTTTCAGTTACTGACATTACATCACTATGTACAAACATATTTCTCACACCATCAATTAATTTCCTCTGGCGAATGTCAAGCAGTAAGTGAAACTGTTTCAGAAAATCGGCACCTAAAATGCCTCTGTTTGCTTTTGCTACAACGAATGGCCATTGGAATGGGCGACGTAGTCCAAGGTCCACGGTCAACACCTTACTTTCAAATGTTGGGATTTCAGTTCCGTTAGCTGCGTATAGCTTGTATGAAGTGCAGGTACTTTTAGATTTCGTATCAGCTGGAATCAAGTTGATATCTGCTCCGCTGTCAATAAGAAATTTGATTCCTGTTTTTCTGTCTTTGATAAAAAGGCGAAATTTGCGGCGATTAATGTTTCCAGTAGCAGCAGGGCTTGCCGCTGATTCTACTGCTAGTTGCAGTTTTCCGGCTGCTTCCAACTGCAGGGAGGTTTGCATTTATCAGCGTAGCATTTTTTTCCAAATTTGAAATGAAAAAAACAGTATTTTCCATCTGGGTCAAAACGCTTGCGGGATCTGCCGCGACTCCTATTTCTTTGATGGCTTCGACTTCGTCGCCTGTCTCTCGTGTGTTGAACACTCAGAGTCGCAATTTGTTGCTCAAGTGAAGAAATTTTTTTAGCAACATATCATATGGGCCAGCTTCTTGGACCACACTCGCAAGCTCCATCCGGGGATTCATCTCAAGAATTTTGTCGGCATGACATGTTTGCAATTTTAAGTCAAACTAAAACATTACCATTCCTAATAAAACACGGGTCACCAGATATTAGTTCAACTCATTGCAAATTAAACTGATTGGAAACTTTTATTTCATAATCATGAACAGCACTAAAAACTTATACAGAAAAAAAAAATACAGACTTCCACCTTCAGCACACCCAATACCAACACATGGTGAACGAACAACCACATGGTCAACAAAACTCTTTAGTCAATGTTACATATGAAAATTTAAAAACAATAACACAGCAGAAAAAAAATGTTCTGAAAATTCACACACTTAATTTTAAAAAAGTGAATACACATTATTACAGTTATTAGCAATTTCAAATAATTATTACACTTTTCTTTCATAATTTAAATTGATTTTTTTACCAATTTCTGATCTATCACCAGGCCACTGAAATGCTAAGTTCAAATCCAATGCATTGGACTGGTGCAGCCATCTACTGACAAGATAGTGAAATGCAAAGTGTTCTAACATTATTTAGAATAATTCAAAAGACTTTCCTTTGTTATACGATAATTTCACGAAAAATTTTAATGCCGAAAATAAAATTACTCAGCACGTACCGCATAGTGTAATTTTACAGAGAAAATTTACTGTTGTTAGGAAATATTTTACTCTCAAGCGATTCTCAATTTATCATTCTAATGAGATAATAGTGCTGCCATCTAGTTTGTCAATTTGATACTACTTATGAGACCAACTCTTTCAAACAGATAAATTCTTTAACCCTCCTTTTCAATATTTCCGGATATCTAATTGAACCATTTCTAAAACACTTTTATATATGTTTCGTTTTGTTGAGCTAAATAATATTTCAGTATTAAAACAGATAAAGGTTTAAGTATAATTTTCGAATCAAATTAGAGTAAGGTAGAATGATGAGCTTCTTTTCTGAACTAATAACCCAATCTTCTGTTAATCAAATTTTAGATTTCGTAAGTAGCTAAATATGTGCAATTATTATGTGAATTCTATGTAAGAACAAAAATCAGATGCTCACATAAGAGTTTAAGGAAACTGCATACGTATTATTTCTGCGAGAGGAGTACCTTGTAGAGAACAGCAGAATAACCAATGTCAAACAGCTGCAGATAAAGCATTTTCACAATAGCTGCCGTTTATTATTTTTTTACTTTTAAATTTAAACACTATGCCATTTTAGAAGCTCTCCAAACTTGAAAAATAATTGCATGCCCATATGACTAACATTACATTCTCAAAGTTGAAAAAAACATTCTAAAACCAGCGTCTAGACTTCATTCCTTGTGTCGAAAGTCTCGCCGTTAAAACTCTCACCAAACACAATGTGATTTGCGCATGCGCGTAGCCAAATTAAAAATAGAACTATAACTCAACTTCAGAACTCGTAATGGACTTTCGAATTTAAAGGTGGGATTGTGTTGAAACTCCCGCCGTTAAAACTCTAACCAAACACCACGTGATTTGCACATGCGCGCAGCCAAAATAAAAACAGAACTATAACTGAACTTAAGAATTCGTGATGGACGTTTGAATGAAAGATGTAATCCTTTTCTTCTGTGCTATGTATATAATTAGTTCGTAATGTGATTTGTAAATTAAATATATATTATAGAACTGTCTTCTTTTGAAATGAATTGTGATTATCTTCAATTAATTAAATAAAATATCCCGGATATCATCGTTGGAGAAGAACGAGAAAGAAGATCGACGGAAAAGTTAAGCCTTTTACCTTTATTTTTAGAATGTATTAACATCAGCAACACCTTGCATCTTAGCAAATTTTTTTACTGCGCATGCGTGAAGCATAAGCATTGCTAAAGCGAGACGCTGCTCTCTGTATTTAGGATCTAAGTTGTAGGAGAACAAATTACAACACACATAAACTGTTGCCTCTAGCGGCAATCCCCCCCCTTTAAAAAATTGTTATTGTAGTTATTTTAGAAAGAGTAATTCTCTTCTAAGTCCTGACCAGAAATAGCATCGTTGCAGCAGAAAGAAGCAAGTGACATATCAGGCATCTTCAAAAGCGTACGCTGATCACTTCATCATCGCTGTGATGAACGTATTGCAGCTGGTGGTCGTTTATTTAAATCGTTCTTGTATCAATCATAATTTGTTGTAATTTTCCGCGATTAAAACGCCATGATTTTTCATTCTCCATGTTCCTCGCACTTACTGCGTTTACTCGTTCATGTTTCACAATCTACCACACACTGTATTACAAAAGTTGGAACGTCAGTTATATCCTGTATTTCTCTTTGTTTTTTTTTTTTTATAGCAAATCTTCAGAAGCAGATGGCGGTTGTGGATGAGAATGCGTGTATTCCTTATGCAGTTTTCCGAGATTTTTACGTTCCAGTACACAACACTTTCTTCGAGCAAGCAGCAGACTATAATCCAAAAACAGGGGATATATTTATAGTATCCTATCCCAAGTGTGGTACCACATGGATGCAGCACATAGTTTATCTTCTTCATAATGGAGGAAAACCAGCTAAAGATCATGGACAGATCGTATCCGAGATCCCTTTTGTGGAGCAAGATGGTTTTCGAAATGGTGATGGACGCTACCTCGCTCTTAAGTACCATTTACCCTTTCGATTGATGCCTTATTCAAGCAAAGCAAAATACATATATATAGCCAGAAATCCTAAAGATGCTTGTGTTTCCTATTACCATTTCTTGAAAGTGAGTGCTTTTTTAGTATTGCTTGTTTTTTTTTTTTTTTTTTTTTGTTTATTATTATTTGTTAATTTTAGATTGTTGCCTTTTTCCTTACTGAATAACAACCTTTAGTAAATTTTATATAATATAGTTTAAAAAAGTTGCCGGGAATAGTAACGTAGCTGAACAGTATCCAGTGAAGTACGATGTTCCAAGTACACATTAAACCCTCTTTAAAATGACTGTACACGGTTCTAAATGATTTTATTTTTCTGCTAAGATAAAGTTCTTTACCATTGTTTACGTTCTCAGAACGGCCTTTCCCTTTCAGAAACGATAAAGTCCACCGTATTTCCTAATTTTTTTCACGTGCTCTTTACTTAATTTCCTAAGTTATAATTCGCCTGAAAGTGCAGCGAATTAGATATTAATCATATCCATCGTGATATATCACATGAAGAAACTAATGAAACGCAAACTGCTTTCAGCAGAATACTTAGAATGTTAGAAAGGTTGTTAAGAGTGATTATTTTGAAAAACATAAAGTGTTATTTTATTGTTAATTCATTTTATTAATAATGCTTTCCTAAAATAAAAGAAATTAAAAAAGCATTTCGGAAACAGGTTTTATTATAATTGGGAAATTTTAACTTTTTTTTACAGACATCCAAACACATATTTTTAATGTATTTTTACTTCACTCTTTGCGAGACATAATCAATAGGCAATCAAATTCTGAATTTAAAATTCTGAAAAAGAACATCTTTGGATAAACTCAAGATGGAAGGCTTGTAGAAAAATTAATATGGATTACGAGTAGTGTGAAACAGAGATTTCAGCGACAGGAGGCGGTGCGCGGTGCAAGCTCGCAGGCGGATTGGGGAGGCGGTGCAAGCGGAAGCTAATTGATAAGTGTTTTGGGAATTCTTCATTTAACTGATAAGATGACGTCACACTTTGATAAGAGATTGTCTTTTATTGATTTTATGGAAGTTCTTTGTTAATCAGTTTTTAGCCTTTGTATTTTTTCTTTGTGTTCCAGCTATTTTACTACATATATGATGGTTATTTCCTAGGTGCCCTTAACGGCGCTTATTTTCAAATTTAATCATTGATTCAGAAGTTCTTAATTTTAGATGCTATTTTCAACTAGTTTCGTACTTTTCAAACTTTCGTAATTTTTTAAGTGTTCTAATTTTGAACTTGTTTATTACATTTTCGGATCATATAAACTTTTCGTTAACTTTAGATGTAAATTTTAACTTCTTTTCTATTTTTGACGTTAATAGTTTCCAACATACTCTGAATTTTAACTAATTTATAATATTTATAGACTATGTACATGACTTTCATTTAATTTATAGCTACTTTCATACGTTTTAACCTTCGTAATTTCAAACATATCCTTAATTTTAGCTTAATTGCTCTATTTTCTCACCATATATATGAACTTTATTTAATTTTAGATGATATTTTTAATGTGTTTCATTCATTTTAAAACTTCATAATTTTTAAAGTACTCTAATTTTAAACTTGTTCATTATATTTTCCTACCATATACCTAACTTTTACTTAACTTTAGATGTAAATTTTAACTTCTTTTCTACTTTTTAATGTTTTTAGTTTCAAAACATACTCTGAATTTTTAACTAATTTGCTAGATTTTCACACTATGTACATGACTTTCATTTAATTTTTAACTACTTTCTTTCCGTTTTAACTTTCGTAACTTCAAACATATCCTTAATTTTAGCTTAATTCCTCTATTTTCTTACCATATATATGAACTTTATTTAATTTTAGATGATATTTCTAACGTGTTTCATACATTTTAAACCTTCGTAATTTTTAAAGTACTCTAATTTTGAACTTGTTTATTGCATCTTCCTACCATATACATGAATTTTAATTAATTTTAGATGTATTTTTATACGTTTCTAACACTTGTTTCTTTCTAGTTTCCAAAATACTCTAAATTTTAACTCTTTTTTTATAATTTTCGATTGTCATCACGCTTTTGATTTTACTATTTCAGCTAAATTTACACTTTTCAATGTCTTAAATATAGAGACAGTTTTCAATTAAACATTTTATTTTAGAACCTTTAACTGTTATTCCAACCCAATTCGTTGAATAGCCTTACTTAGTCTATATTTTATAGTACTGTTTTAATCTGCCTAGTGTGCAATTTATCATTCTGTAGTACTCTTACCATGACTGATTCTACTATTTTCCTTCATTATTAACTTCATTCGCATTTTCAAACTTTAACATTTCTTGCATATTCTGGCATTTTCTTTCGGGGATGAAAATGGGCCCACCTACAGTTTTTCGGGGACATCGATCGTCGCCGACCCCTGGAATCCTATGCTGCACCAAATTAAAAGTGAAGTGGAAGCCCTCACCCACGAAAAATATAATTACGTTCTGCTCAACAAATACCCTGACGGAGATGCGAAGATATCCGCACACAGAGACTCCCTGGATCCTTCCTACTGCATTCCCACGCTGAGTACGGTGCGACGCGAGTGATGCATTTTACAAGAGAGAATTATATGACTCACATTCTGAGTCTGGAACATAGATCGCTTTTAGTGATGAACACCTCCCCCCTAATGTAGTCTGGAAACACGGTATCCCATCCCAGTCCGAAGTGAAGACTATTCGAATAAGTTTGACGTTTAGAAAAATTATATCTCCACAAGTGAAGCGTTCTTCTGATGAAATGGACTTTGGTTATTATGACAACACAATCCCTATACCGTGCATGAATAAAAGAACTTTTCCGCGTAAGGAAACCATGTTTAGAAGATGAGGTGCTCGAGATACCGCAGGACGACTGGCTGAGTCGTCATTACCAGTCATCACGAAATCATGATGAAGTGATCAATTTTTGGTCATTAGAACGGATGTCTCGTCTTTCCATTGTTGTAAGTAGAAATAATAATGTTCGAATTCTTATACAAAACTTTGCAGAAACGAATAATTTCAACTGTGGATCTTCTCTTGAGGGTGTGAGTATGACTCCTGCGACATGGTATGATTTCATGAACAAATTACCAAACTTTAATTTCAAATATTCGGAAGCATCCTTTGATAGCCAATAATCAGTTGGCGGTATTTTGTTCTGCAAACGCGCAATGTTGTTCTTCAACGAATTTTTAAAAGCTCCTGCGGTGGTTTCCGCCTCGTAGCAGATTGTTTTGAATTAGAATCATATCAGACTGATAAACTTTTAGATTTATACGGTGAAATAACTCAGACTATCCAAACTACCCTATTTCAAAATGTGTTACCGCATGAGATAAGAAAACGGCGATCAAAATGCCAGCAGCTGGAACATTTAACTAGCGAGCAATGCATGCAGAAAGTTAACAATGTTATTTACGAGGAGTACTTAACCAGTCTCAACGAGGTGTTTATCTGTGAGGGATGTGCGGTCGATCATCCAAGTCAACGTCGCCACGCCCTGTATAATGGAGACGACTCGGGAAAAAGCTATGAATAATACTGACAAAGCTATATTGTCAATGAACTTTAAAAGACTTGCTCAAAAACTTTATGTAAACAATTGTTGTTGTATTTATGACAGTGATGACGTTTTAAAGAATATTTCATTGTCACCTTTACGTGATCGAATAGCAAATTTGTAACAAAAAAATATTTTAGTAAGTATGTATTTTAATAAAAAGTGTTTTATTTATATTCAAATGTATCTTTATTTAGCTGTCAACTGTTTCTTTTTTATGCTTATAGGAAATGATTTGTTACTCAGGTTTTATATTAATGCATTACAAGCTTTTATATTTCATTTAAGTATTGGCAAAGTTTTACTGTTCCTAAAGAGTGGAATTTTAGTGTGTACGTGGATATTTAATTGCATTTATCTTAATAATGCTTGGGAATAATTTGATAATATGTCGCATAAATATACTTTTCTTTTAAAATCTTAATTGAAAGTTAATTAAAATTAGTTAATGAGTATTAAAATGTTAATTGTACTGCAAAATGATTCATGACTTTTTGTATATACTGACAAGGCTAGATGAAGTTAACTTTATGTTTTTCCCACTGATAGTAAATCTGAAGTCGATAAAAATCTGTTAAGACTCATGTTTAGGTAAATAAGTTGCTTTCTATAGCACATTTTCTAAAATTTGTTGGAATTCTGGGTAAAAGAACTTAAATTTGGTAAAGGTTCTATCTTCATTTTGCATAAAACAGTAAATATTCTACAGTGGACAATGTTTCTTTCGTATTTAGTTCTTAAGAAAATAGTTCTAAGATAGGTATTCGATACTGCGGGAAATACTGCAGGCGAAGATGAATGATTTGAATAGTCTTTGGAGTTGGAAAGTTGAATGATCTTTGGAGTTTTCGCCTTAGAAAAAGGTAATATTTAACAGCATTAATTAAATTACATACATAGAAAGTTCCTATAATGTAAATTTATATGTACAATTATAGGAAAATGGAACACTTATTTGGATGTAATTTTGTATTCTAAAGGGGTTATTTCTCATTAAATGGGTATTAGTAAGGAATATTAGTTTAATTGATGTAATGAGTATTTATGAATAAATTTCTGTATTCGAGATGGATGAAAGTTAAAATATTCGAAAATATAGCGGAGATTTTGGTAAAATGTCTCTTACTGTTTCTTTCTTTGGTTCGTTCTGTAAATATAAGTATATTGGTAATGATATATGTTGTGTAAAGGTATGGTAGTGTTTCACAAGATTTCATTCATAAGAGAATAAATTGGTAAATAAATTAATGAAAACTGACACTCACGAAAGAAAATCCTAGTATAAGAAATTAGAAAAATAGACTATATGTATGCAATTGTCTAGGGAAATTGAGTTGGAATTGAACTAGGTTCGAAGAAATGTGTTAACATTATGCACTAGAAATAAAAGTATATCGATTAAACATAATTTCAAGAGCTGAAATGATAACCAATGGGTAAAATCTATGGTCATTCATCTCTCATTTGATACTGAAAATGTTTATCTTAGGAATTTCTTTTGTGCATGTAACGTAAATAATCGGTAATTTCACTTGAACGTTGTCCATGAAGGCAGAAAATACTCGTACTTGGTGCAGAAAAAAAAAAAAGTGATAAATTTAAAATTTGCCATAGTCGGGGCATTTAAAGTGTAAAAATGATGGTATGAATGCAGTGAATTAGCAAAAAATACCGAATTCAAAACGTATTAAGTGTCCAAAACAATATGAAAAGATTTCTGTATGTGTACATGAATCAGTGAAAATGGTTCTAAAATTATAGATGAAAACTGAGAATCCATTCTAAAAATTCGGAGCCTATCAAGTTAGCTTAATAGCAATCGAGGTTTAAAACTGAACATTGGTAATACTGAAGGGCTTAGAAACATATATTCAGATTTAAATGATGTAAGAAAATAGAAGAATATGCAAGAAATGTTAAAGTTTGAAAATGCGAATGAAGTTAATAATGAAGGAAAATAGTAGAATCAGTCATGGTAAGAGTACTACTGAATTATAAATTGTACAGTAGGCAAATTAAAACAGTACTATAAAATATAGACTAAGTAAGGCCATTCAACAAATTGGGTTGGAATAACAGTTAAAGGTTCTAAAATAAAATAAATGTTTAATTGGAAACTGTCTCTATATTTAAGACACTGAAACATCTAAATTTAGCTCAAATAGTAAAATCAAAAGCGTAATTACAATCGAAAATTATAAAGAAGAGTTAAAATTTAGAGTATTTTGGAAACTAGAAAAAAACAAGTGTTAGAAAGGTATAAAAAATACATCTAAAATTAATTAAAATTCATGTATATAGATAGGTAGGAAGATGCAATAAACAAGCTCAAAATTAGAGTACTTTAAAAATTACGAAGGTTTAAAATGTATGAAACACGTTAAAAATATCATCTAAAATTAAATAAAGTTCATATATATGGTAAGAAAATAGAGGAATTAAGCTAAAATTAAGGATATGTTTGAAATTACGAAGGTTAAAACGTAAGAAAGTAGTTAAAAATTAAATGAAAGTCATGTACATAGTGTGAAAATCTAGCAAATTAGTTAAAAATTCAGAGTATGTTTGAAACTAAAAACATTAAAAAGTAGAAAAGAAGTTAAAATTTACATCTAAAGTTAAGTAAAAGTTAGGTAGTTAGGTATATGGTAGGAAAATATAATGAACAAGTTTAAAATTAGAGTACTAATTTTAAACTTGTATAATAATTTTATAATGAAATTTTAAATGAATGAAAACATTAAAATATCATCTAAAAATAAAGTTCATATATATGGTGAGAAAAGAGCAATTAAGCTAAAATTAAGGATATGTTTGAAATTACGAAGGTTAAAACGTATGAAAGTAGCTATAAATTAAATGAAAGTCATGTACATAGTCTAAATATTATAAATTAGTTAAAAATTCAGAGTATGTTGGAAACTATTAACGTCAAAAATAGAAAAGAAGTTAAAATTTACATCTAAAGTTAACGAAAAGTTTATATGATCCGAAAATGTAATAAACAAGTTCAAAATTAGAACACTTAAAAAATTACGAAAGTTTGAAAAGTACGAAACTAGTTGAAAATAGCATCTAAAATTAAGAACTTCTGAATCAATGATTAAATTTGAAAATAAGCGCCGTTAAGGGCACCTAGGAAATAACCATCATATATGTAGTAAAATAGCTGGAACACAAAGAAAAAATACAAAGGCTAAAAACTGATTAACAAAGAACTTCCATAAAATCAATAAAAGACAATCTCTTATCAAAGTGTGACGTCATCTTATCAGTTAAAATAAAGAATTCCCAAAACACTTATCAATTAGCTTCCGCTTGCACCGCCTCCCCAATCCGCCTGCGAGCTTGCACCGCGCACCGCCTCCTGTTGCTGAACTCTCCGTTTCACACTATTATTACGTGCTTTGAACTTTTGAAATTCTGACCTTCTGAACAATAGTGTAATTATATACATTCATAAACTGATAAACAATATAACAAAAGTAAAATTGTATTTATAGATAATGGGAAAATAAAACTTTCCTTCTGGAGAATAACTTCAATCATGCAGTGTAATAAAAACTGTACTTTCCACGACAACAAAAGTCTGATTTCATAAGCAGGATACATCAGTATCTTTACATGCTTCAATATGACTGCATGACTTAGATCACATAAACTGAGCCACGACAATAATGGAATCTAATGATTTTTACTTAATGGTTTTAGTTAATTCTAATATAATATAGTCGATACGAACACTAGAATTCCCTTCAAAAATATTAACAGATCTCGTAGTTCAGCGTACAATAAATCTTCTTACATTTAGACTACTTGAATGTAATTTTGTGCAATTTAGAAGCACTGCAGCAAGGATTAATCTATCATTTCTGTTGTCAAGCAAAACTGTTAGATGACGAATTAATGCAAAAAGAAAATTTAGTTCACAATTTACTGGAAAAATCTGGTGCCAAAATTAAATGTGAGACATTTTTGACGCTGTAAATCAACTAACTATAAATTCCAAGGAAGAATACGAGAGTTAATAATATTATTTTCCTGTAATAAATGCTATTTATTATCCACAATTCTTAATTCTGATAACGTATTACATAGAAATTTATATGATCTCGCTAACAAATACTTTTGAAAACGATAATTTCTGAAGTTTATTTTTCTTGCCTTAAAAAGCTAATTTATTACCTTATTATTATTTTATTCTGCTTTTCTTTTCGTTAATATTTTATTCTCTCTTCAGCCTCTACCAAGGTATCACATCAAGAGTTTTGATGAATTTTTCGAGTCTTTCCTCTCAGGTCAAATACCGTATGGGCACATCATCGACCATGTCCAGGAATGGTATGAAAAAAGGAATCTACCGAATGTTTTATTCACCACATACGAATCACTATCAAATAAAAGAGAAGAAACAATCTTAAATGTAGCAAAATTTTTAGGTCTCCATAACCTTCCTGAAAATATAGTTCAAGGTAAATTTCTTCTCCTTTTAGCTCTGAACAAGGAAATGTTACACAATTATTGTTACGGAGACATCAGATTCCAAACATTGTAGCATTTTTGAGCTGATTGCAAACCTATCTTTCAAAATTTTCTTTTGATTCTTATAAAAAGTGAGCTTGTTTTCCCAAAAAAATTCACTTTAATCAGTATTAATTATATTAGAATGCACAGGAACCTAACAAAACATAAGATTCTTTTCTGTGGATAAGAACAAAACATAAGATTTATTTCTGTGGATTTAAGAATAAGATTTAATATCATAACCATAAACAGATATACAAAATTAATTCTGAAGAGATTCTATAAGGTTACTTAAATATTTCAGTGACGCTCATTTTTCATCTCTCTTATTTTAAAAACATACCTAATGTCTGTACAACTTTTGAAGAACAAAAGAACAAATTGTATTCATCACAACAATTCTAACACTCTAGAGGTTCGATTCAGTAAGATTTCACATCATTCTGATATAATTTACGCGCATTTAAAATAAAATGTTCCGTTTCCGCGTATCATACTTGATACGATGCGCCACGGAGCTTAATGGAGGGATACCTTCATACAGGACTGTCTAAGGGAAACTGGTTCATATGCACGTTATACAATGGTGAAATAAATTAAGAGAATTTTCCTATTTGACCTACGATGTCCAGAAGTACTAGACAGATTTTAATAAAATTTGGTGTGAACATAGGTTGATATAATACAAACAAAATAAAAATTCAACAGTTATAATAGACACACATGTTCGTGTGTAACACTCATGGTTATCTGAAGGTCTGAAACAGCGGTTGCTGCAGAAGACACAAAAGAAATGGGTTAATATGGTCCCCTCTTACAGCCATACAGGCCTCTCAGCGTGGTGTCATACTGGAAATACCGGAATAAGGCAGTGCCTGTGGCAATTGGTCCCACTCATTCAGCAACGGTGTTTTCAGTTCCTGGATGGTTCTCGGAGGGGGGTTGCGAGTTACAATTGCCCTCCCCAGATCGTCCCAGACATGCTCTATAGGGTTGAGGTCTGGAGACATGACTGGCCAATCCATCCGGCGAATATACTCGCTCTCGAGAAATTAGTCGACCAGAAGAGCTCTATGTGGCCTCACGTTATAGTCCTGTAAGATGAACTCGGGGCCCACTGCACGTCGGAAAAGGCGAACATAGGGCTCCAAGACCTTATGCCTATACCTCACACCAATCACAGAGCCTGTGTCAAAGACGTGGAGAGGTGTGCGGCCGTCCAACATGATGCCTGCTCAGACCATTACACCGCCAACGCCATAATTGTTGATTTCGCAAACACTGGAGGGTAGATAACGGGTTTTTGCTGAAATTCTAATAAAATATTACTATATTAGTTTGTAAAAATATCAAAATTATTTAAACATGTAAAATAATTTCGCATTTATAATAAAAATTAAGAAAATAACAGGAAAATGATTCATAATTTTATTTGACAAATGCAGAAAAATTTTTATTCGAGAATTTTCAGAAAATTCCTTAAAATATCAATCACCATAAAATTACAATTATACTTTAAGAAAACATATTCTGGTCATATGCCATGGCATGATTGTGGATTAATACTAAACACAGCAATATGATTTTATTCTCTCATTTAAGTATCACAGGCATCTTGTTGCATGAAAGAAGTACTGTGAATTGTTGCATATTACTAATACCATACTTTAATTAAACATCATGGGCATTTATTTATGCAAAATACTGTAAATCGTTGCAAATTAAAACATACTTTAATGATTGTAATTATAATGTTATCTTAAATTTTATGTTAGCACCTCTAAATGATAAACAATTTATTACAGATGTTGTGAACCACTCAAGCTTCAAATTTATGAAAAATCTTGTGGATGGAGATTTTATGAAACAATATCTGCGTAGCAGCACGGGTTACAACTGCAACGAGAATAGATGTTTGTCCAGTGATGCCGAACCGAGAATGATGCGAAAAGGTATAACTGGTGACTGGAAGAATTATTTTTCAGAAGAGCAGAGTAAACGAATGGATGAATGCATTCAGGCAAGAGGGGCGAAGCTGATAAAAATCTGGGGAAATTAAATAAGTTGACGTTCCAAACAATAAAAATTATAATTATGACGACAAATCTCTTGTAAAATAATTTCCTTCTGATGAAAACGTTTTGAATTTGTAAGTGCTTTTATGATTCTTGTAAAAAACAGAATTTTTAATTGCACCAAAAAAAAAAAAAAAAAATTACCGGCTTATGCATGATGGTTCTTTCGTTAATTATACGTTTTATTCATCATTATCTTGAATTTAGTCTTAAAATGTTTTAAATTACTTTATTTTATTTCCATCCTTTTTGTTATTTAATACATACGAAAGTTCCCCATTTTACCATTTAGAAACACTTGGAAATAGTATTATAATCCTAAAAGTATGTTCACTTTTGAGTTATCGAATATAAACTATCTAAAATTTATCAAAGTCACTTTTGAGTTATCAAATATAAACTATTTGTGTTATGAAAGCTATAATAAACATCAATAAATTAATTAAAATGAAATAAAAATCCGATCCTGATACGTAAACTGCGCAAAAAAGAAAGGGGGACAGTTCTGTATTACCTGTTCTACTGAGCCGATTGACGAAATTCAAATTGCGTTTTGCATGTCTCGAAAGTGCGACTTAGGATATATATTACATTTTTATATATAGCATTATTCTAACATAGGTATTTTGACACAAAATCGGGCTTTTTCTGAAATGGCATGCCAATTTTTTTCCCTTATTTCAATTCCACGATTGAAATTATTCCTAAATACTAAATTTCGTAACATTTGGTGCGAAATTTACGGAGAAATTCAAAAATTTATCTTGGCGCATTTTTTTCAGTTTGCGCCAAAAATAATTCACTTGGCGACTTCTTAATTTATAGCAACCTATTTTCCTTTCCTTTTCTGGTCCACGGTTTTTTTTTTTTTTTTTTCGCAGCGTACCTGCATAGAATAAGATGTTCAGACAGCACCGTCTAATTAATGAGGATTTGTTTCGAAACTGCTTAGCTGTCTCTAAGCATATTGATTCTTTGAAGTGCTAATAGCAAAGTAAGTTCCCTCATTAGTTTCTTCTCACCGGAGAAATTCCATTTCGGAAGTGTTCAACTGTCAGCAAATAATAATAAATAAATAAATAAATAAATAAAATTATTGTGGACTAGAATAATACTGTAGTATAGAAGTTTCCTCAAACATTAGATTCAGTCAGACATGCATGACTCCATTGTAATTTCCTTGTATATTATTTTGTATTCACATACAGTGCTGGTTGTTTGAATTTTATTTATAAACATGTAAACAGTAAAACATATTGAAAATATTGTTTATTACATTGTTGTAGTGCATAAATCAGGACCATAACACAGACTTCTCATAAGAAAGTTAACCAGGACCGCGCCATGTTGTTTATTGACAGCTTATATTCCTAAAAAGTGGGAAAGAGGAATTTTTTTCTTACTTCTGTCTAATGCGAAAAAAAATTTTTTATAGATTTTCACTTGTTTTGGGAGCATAAACTGGCTCCAAACCCTAACAGATTTTGATCGAATTGTCGCTGTGTCTGAAATTAACTACAATGTCTTGAAAACGTTTTTAAACAACCTTTTCAATTTAAACACAGACCTTCAAATATAAATTCACGTCTTGTGCGAACAGGATCGACCGCTGCTTGTGGCAATGTAACTAAAATATCATCAAATTTGAAATAAAGCGTAGACTAGTAGTCAAAGAATGAATTAAATTTAGATTTATGATTTTTGCTGGTTTTTCATATAACGTCAAATTAAAAATAAAGAGAGTGGAGAAAAATGTTTAGATCAACTCCACATAATATCAAAAACATATTTTATATCCAATTTTCAAATATGAAATACCGTCTATTTACATACAGTGTGATCAATCAGTGGAACTGCAACCTTTACATACAGTGTGATCAATCAGTGGAACTGCAACCTGTACATACAGTGTGATCAATCAGTGGAACTGCAACCTGTACATACAGTGTGATCAATCAGTGGAACTGCAATCCTTACATACAGTATGATCAATCAGTGGAACTGAAACCTTTAGATACACTGTGATCAATCAGTGGAACTACAACCCTTACATACAGTATGATCAATCAGTGGAACTGAAACCTTTAGATACACTGTGATCAATCAGTGGAACTACAACCCTTACATACAGAGTGATCAATCAGTGGAACTGCAACCCTTACATACACTGTGATCAATCAGTGGAACTTCAACCTTTACATACAGTGGGATCAATCAGTGGAACTGCAATCCTTACATACAGTGGGATCAATCAGTGGAACTGCAATCCTTACATACAGTGGGATCAATCAGTGGAACTGCAATCTTTACATCCACTGTGATCAATCAGTGGAACTGCAACCTTTACATGCAGTGTGATCAATCAGTGGAGCTGCAACAAGACAAAGCAAGCAACGACACGTCAAAATCTACAGTTAATTTATTTGAAAAAAATGGAACAAGAAACATGTATCAAGGCTCTTCTCTCATATTCTTACTAAATCTTCTGATCTATCGCCAATGTATTTTTGCAATTTTATACTTTTAAAAAGCGGATTGTCCAAACGTTGATTTGCAACCTCCTTAGACTTTGGGACTTTCGAGAACAATAAGATAAAATACGTCTTCTGATACTACAAAAGGCATTAGTGTCTTGTAAATTATGGTGTGTAAAGAGAGGGACGAATAAAGGTTATCAAATAGAACATTTAAAACATAAAAATTTTATTTAAAATGGTTCTATAATTGGTTACAACCGAAAACATCGCGGAAAAAACATCGCGGAAAAAAACGTCGCGGAGAAAAAAACAACGCAAGGCGAAAACGTCGTGATGCAAAACATCGTGGGAGAAAATGAAGCAAAGAGAAAACGTTGCAGTTCTGTACAAAATATCGTCGTCGAAAATAAAGCGGTTCAAAAACTTCGCAGTTTAAACACATCGTCGTCGAAAATATCGCATTAAAAAATAAAGTACTATCGCATGACAATAATATCGTAGACATGATTTTTAAGGCTTTAATAACTGCAAATGGATATTCGCATAATGATTTGTGTGCGCAAGATGGAAAGAAGGATAATTTTCACATTCATATTTTTTATTAATTAATATATTTTTAAAAAAGCAAAACAAGAAATTCAAATAAAACAAGAAGTAATTTTCATTATAAGAGTATCAGATTTAACAAAAGTGAAGAAAATTATCTCATAATTAACTTAGAAATTTTTTACTTATCTTTCTTTTTCTATTCTTTTTCTAGATAATACTTTTCATGAAAAATTACCAGTAAAACTTATAAAAATATTTTATTAATGACCTTTGTTAGTTAACTATGTCAGCTTGAAACTCTATTAAGTGCTATAAATTGCATTAATTTTCTATACTTAAGTTTATGTTTTACATTTTCAGCAAATATTTATTAGTTAACCCTCTCGCATCCCGCGATTTCCACGGGCAACGTAGAAGTAGCAAAATTTCAGGAACCCGCGATCTCTGCGGGGATGAATTTCTGCCGTCTATTTAACTGTGCAACCAGCTCTTTCCTAGTTCAAGGTTTCCTTTCGGCTTCTCTGTGATGTTTAGTTTTTTATTTAGATGTAGACTAACAGATGGTGTTAGTTGTCCACATTAACTAACAGATGGTGTTAGTTGTCCACTTAACTAACAGATGGTGTTAGTTGTCCACATTAACTAACAGATGGTGATAGTTGTCCACATTTCTGCCAAATATACAAGAATAATAGCATTTTGCGCGCGCTTCTCAGAAATCAAAGATTTCTGGCAGGAAGCGTTTCGCGAGTGATATAACCTCGTATATTCCTGACGATATTTCCGACACTGATAGAAGTTTTGACTCTGATTTCAAGTACATTGAAGATAGTTATAGCGAAACTGATGAGAATTTCTCGGATTCCTCTGCAGATAATGATGAATCTGGAAAATTCAGTTTCTATTGGAAATGTTGGACAGTGGTGCAAAATTTATATGCAAAATATTACATTATGCAAATATTTTCATTAGAATATATGTTTTACCTTTGTATTTCATAAAATAAATCATAATTTAACCAATATTAATTTTCAGAATTTTCCTTTTATATCATTATTCTTCAATTTCAGTATTCTGACAACCTTTTTCTATGATCTAATTTTATATCGAAAAAAAAAAAAAAAAAAAAAAAAAAAAAAACCTCTTTTGGAGAAAATTTTGTATATTTTAACTCTAAAATTCTACATCTTGCGCTCACAAACCATTATGCGAGTTTTACAATTATTAAACAATTATTAAATTTTACAGTTATTAAAGCCTGAAAAACGCATGCCTGCGATGTTTTTGTCATGCGACGATTCGTAGGTACTTTATTTTTTACCACGATAATTCGTCGACAATGTTCTTAAATTGCGAAGCTTTTGAACCGCTTTATTTTCTCCCGCGATGTTTTGTACCATGACGTTTTCGCCTTGCGTTGTTTTTCCGCGACGTTTCGTCCGCGATGTTTTCGGCGGACACCCTATAACTACAATGAAAATCGTCTAAAATTTGTACGTACAGCCTCAGTATACATAGAGACAGTCAGCTCGTTGGGATCACTTCTCTAAGACAATCATCTTTAAAGATGACCATTTTTCTGAGAACATAGGCACTAGTATTATATATCACCTTTTTGAGACGACCACTGTCAAAAGACTCAATTGGTAGACGATTTTGTTTTTCTATGAAAATGGTCACATTAGTGAAAATATTGTAAGAAAATTGGAAAATTTGTGAATACGGAACCAAACATTGATATCACAAGTAACAGTGGACAAAATTCTTAATTTAAAATTTTAACGCAGAAATTTATGCGAGCAAGAATAATAATGATAGTAACTTTAATAAATAAATAAATATACAAAAGTGTTGTGGCTAATTTCATTTCTCTGTCCTAATCAGAACGAGATCACGAATTTCACACCGGGAAGGAGTGCAAGATTGCGTCTGTCGTTGGTCTTTTGTTGGCTTGAGCACTTTACAGATTCCAGTACGACATACTCCCGTGAGCATATTTCACAAGTGCATGGGCATACAGCCTCGATTTCTGTCGTGTTACGTGACCTTTCCGCGTGCTTTAAGATTTAAGCAAGATGGTTGAAAATATTTCTGCCACGCAATTTTCTGTGCGAAATAATTAAAGCATCGTCGATTTCT